ACTAGATTGTGTTAATGTATATCTTACTGTTCTGGTAACATTCACACCTGTACTTACAGTTAGGTCATTGACAAGATCTCTACTAGATTGTGTTAATGTATATCTTACTGTTCTCCTGGTAACATTCACACCTGTACTTACAGTTAGGTCACTGACAAAATCTCTACTAGATTGTGTTAATGTATATTTTACTGTTCTCCTGGTAACATTCACACCTGTACTTACAGTTAGGTCATTGACAAGATCTCTACTAGATTGTGTTAATGTATATCTTACTGTTCTTCTGGTAACACGAAATCCTTGGATCAATCAGTAGCCTTTCAAAAGTATGACTTTCTAAACATTTGTCATATGGCAGCATTTCCCAAAGATTTCTCCAGATGGGTGCAAATTATCTCTTGGAGGGTACAAGCAATTTGGGTAGAGTCAATAATGCAAAATTAAGCATTTTATTATATTTTATCAATGAAAATGATAAGTACTTACTACAACACACAGAAATGCTGTAATATGGTATTTCTGTCCTGAGTGCATACACCACACTACTGATGGGACTAGTATGTCTGTCTGTACTTTTATAGGCATACTGCTGGAAATGTGCTGACTGGTTAATTGGATGACAGTTAATGTGAGAATAAACTAGGAACCTGTGACTGTGTACTGTAGTTAATTGTCACACAATAATGGAGAAACAGTCCAACAATATTTGCATACTTATACTAATTATATTCATTGTTTTAATAATAATTTCCAGATTTTACAGTTTTTGAATCAAATATTATGACTGAAATAGAAAATTAAGGCAGGAAAAAGTTAAGCATTTGCAGATTGAATTCACTGCTTTATGCCAATAGTGGAAGGATTAATATAAACTTTATGTGAGATACAAGAATACTTTTATCTCCAGCTCTTTTTCTGATGAGTGAAATTAATTAAAATTATAATAAAGTAAATAATAATATGTTTATTAATTCTTACTCTAATTCTCATTTGAAAAGACTCTAACAAAGTTGATAAAAATTACACCCCACCAACATAATCTAGTTCACACAATAACAGTTCTTGTTCATACAATTTGTCTAATGAAGTTGATAAAAATTACACCTCACCAACTTAATCTAGTTTACACCATAACAGTTGTTGTTCATACAATTTGTCTAACGAAGTTCATAAAAATTATACCTCACCAACTTAATCTAGTTCACACTATAACAGTTGTTGTTCATACAATTTGTCTAATGAAGTTGATAAAAATTACACCTCACCAACTTAATCTAGTTCACACTATAACAGTTGTTGTTCATACAACTTGTCTAACGAAGTTGATAAAAATTACACCTCACCAACTTAATCTAGTTCACACCATAACAGTTGTTGTTCATACAATTTGTCTAAGGAAGTTGATAAAAATTACACCTCACCAACTTAATCTAGTTTACACCATAACAGTTGTTGTTCATACAATTTGTTAATGTAAACAGTGTCTCAACCACAAGTACGCTTGTTGTATACCAGCTGGTCTTGTGAGCCATGGTATTGGTCAAAAAGCCTCTTCGGCACTGGCTATATTAGATAAAAGATTGGTTATACATTTTTTTTCTTTACCCTCACTAATAAGTTTGTAGAATCCACAGACTGTTGTCACTAGGTCCTCACATTGCAAGTGCTCAGTCCAGCAGTTGCTACTGCACCTTGTGTGCTTATTACTTTTATGGAGTGCTTCCCAAATAACAGCAACTAATGATGTAAAACAAGTTAATTTGAAGAGCATTTTAAAGCAATTTTACATTTTAGACAATCAAACTTAGCAAAAGTGTGCAGGATGAGTTTTCCTTTTCGCATCATTACAGCTACATAAAAGAATACTTGCAGCAATAGCTTTTTTTTGCTGGATAAAGATTTGAGATATTGAAAATTTAGAAATTTTCTGGAAAAACTTGTGTGTCTAGAATCAAACGTAGGCAAAGCTGTTGAAGGGAATTTTGTAGATCTCTTCCAGACGTGCATAATATTCAGGATAAAGCAAAACATTTGCATTTTAAATTTTGGAAAAGGACAACAAACGTGTATATTTTATGATAAACAAACTATGTAAACAGAAAATAGTATAGCATTTTCTTCATTTACTTTTTATTTTGGCTACAAAATTACAGTTTTCTTGGATCTTAATGAATAATTTATTTACTTGCAGTAAATGTTTTGTGTAAAATAAGTTGTCCTTTAGGTAGTTTTTTTGTACCCTATGTTTAGATTGAATCTGTTGTCCTTTAGGTTGTTTTTGTAGCCTATGTTTAGGTTGAATTCATTGTCCTTTAGGATGTTTTTTGTAGCCTATGTTTAGGTTGAATCCTTGTCCTTTAGGATGTTTTTTGTAGCCTATGTTTAGGTTGAATCCTTGTCCTTTAGGATGTTTTTTGTAGCCTATGTTTAGGTTGAATCCTTGTCCTTTAGGTTGTTTTTTGTAGCCCATGTTTCAGTTGAATCTGTTGTCCTTTGTTTTTTAAATAAAAAAAAATATCACATTTCAAAACAAATTTTCTGCTGAATCTTAAATTATATCAATTTTTTAAGAAGTTTACTTGAAGATTCATGTTCCACTTTCTGAATTGTGGATTGAAGCTGAAGGAGTAATTCACTTGTTGTCCTAAAGAGGTCTGATGAGATTTTTGGGTGTTTCAACACTAGCTTCAATCCCTGAACAACCAAAACCAGATCCAACACTGAATGCCAAGGGTAGTGATGAAGACTTGGGGCTTCTTTAATTTGACTAAAGTTTTCAACATCGGCTGCTGCTCGTTGTCCAACACAATCCAGCATTTCTACAAACTCTTTGAAGTTCATACCATGGTGAGCTTTCAAAACCACCTTAAAAATTATTGAAGTAATGGTAAATATATAAACTAGCTCATGTTTCATTTGATACACATGTACAGTCAAAAATAACAAAAATAATCACAACATATATATATATATATATATATATTAAATGTTACTGCTCCAGGTTTAGATATTAAAATAAAAAACATATCTAGTTACCAGTTTCCTTAATCAGTTGTCAGAAGTTTACATCAAGTTAACAATGCAATCCAGTTACTAGTTTCCTTAATCAACTCTCAGGAGTTTATATTAAGTTAACAATGTAATCCAGTTACTAGTTTCCTTAATCAACTATCAGGAGTTTACATTAAGTTAACAATGTAATTCAGTTACTGCTTAACAATGTTACAAGTTTCATTAATCAGTTGTTATGAGTTTACATCAAGATAACAATGTAATCCACTTACCAATTCTCTTACTCAGCTATCATGAGTTTACATCAAGTTAATAATGTAATCCAGATACTAGTTTAGTAGATGCTTACTCAACTGTTTACAAACACATACTTCCAAGTTCCCTCAAAGAAACTTCTGAATTAGTGCAAAATCCTAATAGTCATGCAGTTTTAACATGTCTACATTTTTATGTTGCTCATTATTTCATTTATGTGGCTCACTGTTTTCAGTTCAGTCCTGTTTTCTGTAAATATTGTTGTACTGTACTCTATTCCTTGTGGGTAGGTTATGTAAAGTACATGTGGTTTAGTTACACAACAAAATATCATCTTAGAATAAGGACTGCTTTTCATACTTACATCCTTGCATTCAATGTTTAATGTGCCACATATACCATAGTTATACTCTGTCACAGTGGGATATGTATCATGGAGCATCTCATTTCAATGACCTGCAGTAATCAGCCATCATACTGATGTTCCACCTTCCCCAATGTCTTGATGAAACCTTCCCCATTGTCTTTAGCTGACGGCACTGAGAATTTCAGGGAAATAGTCAATATGCAAGTGTAAGAAATGAACTTTCAAGCTCGTATTACAACCCAACACTTTGAATTTATCAAGCATGTTACTGACAATATTTTAGTAATTTGGGTCCTTGTTTTTTCCTAAAAATTTGTCAATAACATCTTTAAAGGCAATCCACGCTTCTTTTCAACTTTCCCCATTGCCCTTTTGAACTATTCATCCAAAAGTCAATTTTCTAATCTGAGACCCAACAAAAATCCCTTCTTTAAATTTCACTTCTGAAAGAGCTGGGAATTGTCCACACAGATACTTGAAACAGTTGCCATCTTTGTCTAAGGGCTTTACAAACTGCTTCATCAAGCCCAGTTTTATGTGAAGTGGATGTTATATGACTTTGTTTGCGTCAACCAAACTTTCACGTTCAATGTTTTTCGATCCTGGTATCAGGCTGACTCTGCGTGATCATTGCTTCTTTATTCAGTGCTGATTTCGTGCTCTGTTGTCTCATTCACACAAAAAACATGGAAACTTTGTATAACCAGATTGTTGACTCCAAAACATACAAAGGACTTTTAAGTCTCCACAAAGTAACTAACCATGATCTTATTAAGAAGAAGTTCGAGATTTTAGTAAGTTTCCTTCAAGTGAACTGAATTAGCAATAGGAACAGATGCATATATGTTACCATTGTGAAGGAGACCACCTTTTAGACTTATTTTGGAGGAATCAATGAACAATCATCACTCACTTGGTTCATTGACTGCAACTCCTAGCATTGGTATTAATTCAGCAATATTGTTGTAACAAACCAGTGAACCTTCTTTGAAAAATATGGTATAAACTCTTTCTCGCGATTTCTGTACCAGTTAAATGATATCCCTGGAGAAAGTAAGTTCTTAGCCTGAAGTCAAGACCCAAAAATCTCTGTAGAATCCTTTGGAAGACCCAAAATCTCTCACCAAATCATTACGTTCACATTGTGTGAAAAGTTGTGGTTCACCAGATGGTACTCACAGCCAACTGGTACTATTGACTAGAAGAAAGGAACCTTGCTGGTGGTACTCACTGCCAACCTAGAGGGAAGGAAACTTGCTGGCAGTACTTACTGCCAACTTGAACTATTGACTAGAGGAAAGGAACCTTGCTGGTGGTACTCACTGCCAACCTGAACTATTGACAAGAGGGAAGGCAACTTGCTGGCAGTACTTACTGCCAACTGAAACTATTGACCAGTAGAAAGGAATCTTGCTGGCGGTACTCACTGCCAACCTGAAATATTGATTACAGGGAGGGCAACTTGCTGGCAGTACTTACTGACAACTGGAACTATTGACTAGAGGAAAGGAACGTTGCTGGTGGTACTTACTGACAACTGGAACTATTGACTAGAGGAAAGGAACCTTGCTGGTGGTACTCACTGCCAATCTGAACTATTGACTAGAGGAAAGGAACCTTGTTGGTGGTACTCACTGCCAACTGGTACCATTGACTTGAGGGAAGGCAACTTGCTGGCAGTACTTACTGACAACTGGAACTATTGACTAGAGGAAAGGAACCTTGTTGGTGGTACTCACTGCCAACCTGAACTATTGACTAGAGGAAAGGAACCTTGCTGGTGGTACTCACTGCCAACCTGAACTATTGACTAGAGGGATGGCAACTTGCTTGGGGTACTCAGTGCCAACTTCTTTGCTACTTACGTGTTAAATAAAGTGTAACCTTAGTGGTTTTTACATTATGTTATATTTCTAATTGTATAAATGTATTCTTTAATTTTTTTTTATAAGTAGGCACAAATCTAGAAGAGTGGTCCATATACTCATTCACAGTTTTTTCTCCAGAAATTAATAACAGTATTCTTTAATGTTGCCTAAGCAGAAATGGATTTAGTGGAGAGGCCCATGGGGCTGAACCCCCTCATCAATTGTTTTTTTTCCGAAATGAATAACTATAATATTTAATGTTGTATAAGTAGGTATAGACTAAGTGGTCTGAACTTCTCCATTTTTTCAGGTATTAATAAAAAAAAAGACAGATGTCCTTACATTACCATAAAGTATTAAAAAACAACATTAAATGTCAGTGTTTGTGCTATTATCTTCTACAAGTCTTTTTTTAAAGTCAATACAGATGGAGCCTACAGTAATCTAGTAAAGGTCACAGCCAATAATTGATTATTTCTAAGCTAATTGAACAATATGAACATCAATTGGCATGGTATAGTCTCATGCCTTTCCTTTTTCTACACATTCTAACAATGTGCCTGGACTTCAGAGGTTTGTTTTAATCAAAATCAGTATTTTATTACAAGTTACAGCTTTTACAGTAAAAAAAAATGTTTTAAAATTTACGTCATTTCAATTGATGGTGTGATCATTTTCAAATTTTAATGGTAAAGAGGTTTTAGTATTATAAATCGACAATTTAACAGTGTATTTAAATTTTATAATTGATAGTCGTTGCTCATTATTGTGCATAAAAATCCACGAGAATTGACAGATTATTTATTCATGGCTGAACATATTCGGTAAGTAAACTCAAAACGAAACTATTACACTAAGTATTGTTTAGGACAGATGCATCCCTTGTAACATACTTATTGTTACACCTCCAGTCGTTACTTAATTTTCCGTAAATTCGTTCTGACAAAACTTTAGCGAAACATGTCCTTTCTTAAATAAAACTGGTTTATTCTTTCTGAATACAACTTTACTGATACACTTAATTTCAACAGTCGCTCTATAACAAATGCTAGAACGCCTCACGTCCTCGTGCTCGACAATAC